CTCCTTCCGCTCCCGCATTCGCGCCCAAGGCGCCCCAGCCTGCGCCAGAGCAGGCCCAATCCGTACCCCCCATCTTCGTGCCATCTTATCACGTAATCGAAGGAGGAAACACCACTTGGACCCCGACAATTGGCGTTTCCCAGACGGCCCCGGGCGCTTGCTGAACAGCCCTGCCCTCTTCGAGTCCTCCCATGGGTGCGTTTCGTTTAACAAACGGCTTCGCTTGTCGGGATGCTCAGTATGGTCTAGGCCTCCTGGATGGGGTCGGAGTAGATGTGGTCGGAGGATCGTGCCGCATCGCCGATGCATCGGCGATGCGGCTCGTTGCGGAGCTCGATTTCCTCCACGCCGACGTTGCCGATGCATCGCCCACGTCGACGATGCATCGCAGGTGCGTCGCCGATGCATCGCCGCTGCATCGCCGATTTATCGGCGATGCGGCGCGATCATTCGACCCCATATGCTCCTTCTCTCCTTCTCCGACTTCATCTAGGATGCCTCTATATGGGGAGTGGTTTTCTGCCCTCTACAGAAGGCAGTGCAGCCGGACGCGCAGATTTGCCTTCCTTTGCTCATGTGCGTGCGCACACGGTTGTTTCTGATGACGATGATGATGGTGATGATGATGTTGATTCTTATGATGATGATGACGATGATGATGCTGATTATGATTATGATTATGATGATGATGATGATGATGAGTATTATCATTGTCATCATTATTGTTATTATCATTGTTAGTATTAGTGTTCTATTTATGATTAGTAGTAGTATCATCATTATTAATATTAGTATTCGTGTTATGATGATTACTATTAGTCTACTTCTTATCATTATTATTCTCAATATTATTATCATTATTATTATGAATAGTATTATCCTTATTATTATTAATCTTATTACTATTATGATGATTATGATGATGATGATGATGATGATGATGATGCTGATGATGATGATGATGATGCTGCTGCTGCTGATGATGATGATGATGATGATGATGATGATGATGATGATGATTATTATCATTATTACTATTATTTTTATTATTATTATTATTATGTATGGTTGTTATCGTTCGTATTACCATCATGACAGGAGGCACCCTCTGCCACCAGCAGGAGAGGCCGCGAGAGCCTCCCGCGGGCTCGCGAGGAGGCTGCCCGCCCCGGCCGCACAGACAGCGGGGGCCCTTCCACAGAGGGCCGCGCGGCCTCCCCCCGCGCACGCAGGGGTGCCTCGTCGGGCGGGGGGTCGGGCGGCCGTGTTGGGCCGCCGCCCGGGAGCTCGACCTGTGGAGCAGGGGATCGATCCCGCAGGCCCAGGGTGAAGTTGGGCCTGCCCCTTCTACGGGAGGAATGTTCAAAAATGCTCAAAACATAGGCTCGGGACGTGTTTTAGATTGTGTTTTGTCTCATGCCAGTTTGGAGTATTGTTGGGGTATTGTTTTAATTTTTCGTCGAAGGTCCCCCTGTGGGGGGACACGCCCGACTTAAGCTTAGAGTTAAGTTGGGCCTGCCCCTCTACAGGAGGAATATTCAAGAACAGTCAAAAAATACTCATGGGACGATTTGTTTTGACTATGTTGCACCATGGTTGAGCATTGTTGGACTATGTTTCATGTTTCGTCCAAAATCTGCCTGTAGGAGGACAGGCCCGACCTAAGCCTAGAGGTTGACACCAACATCAATTTCTGCGGTGTGCCTCCACCGAGGGAAGAAGATCTCGATCTCGGCGATGGTGGTGGTATTCTGGCTCCCAGGGTGGCCCAAATATTATATCGCCAGCACCAACAGCGAGGATCGTCCTCCCCCCGTGGAGGGAACCCCTCTGTGTTGGTGTTGGTGCCCATTCTCAGGCCTCCAGATCGACTACAGAATTGATTTGCCCCAGAATTAATGTTCACGTCGGATCTGTAGGCGAGTACGTCGAACTTCGGTAGTTCTACCAACGTTCTACGCGTATTCCATGGAGCCGACGAGATGCACCAAGTTTGGGGCAAACCAATGCCGCAGTCAAATCAATGCCGCAGTCGACCCCGTGCTCGAATCTGAGCTGAGTTCGCTGCCACACCTGGGAGGGAGAAGCCGCACCGTAGGTTTCAGCCGGGCCTGTCCCTCCACAGGGGGAATATTCAAAAATATAAAAAGGGGCCAGGGACGTGTTTTTTTGCGTATGTCTGCGCATTCTTGGAATATGTTTTGAGTATTGTGTATTGTTCGTCGGAAATCGGCCTGTAGGGGGACAGGCCCGACCTAACCGCAGGTTCGCGCCGTGTGGACACCTGCTCCTCTCGCCGTGGCCTCCCTCCGCCGGCCTGCCTGCCTGCCTGCCTCCCGCAAGGGGGGGTTCCCCCGCCGGCGGCTCCTGCCGACCGGCCTCTCAGGCCTCGCGCGGGCACCACATCAGTCAGGAGGGGAAAAAACACACAGACACAATGAATCGTCGATCCCCAGGAAGATATGCGAAAATATGGGAATTGGGGGGGAAGACAAAAACCCAGAAAATATAAGAAAATATGGGGAATCTTTTTATTCGTGTGTATTTATTTGTGTGTTCTGGGGCCCCTTTCATCAGAGCCGTGGCAGCATGTCCCCCCGTGCTGTTCTCGGTGTTCCTCGGGCTCCTCGTGGCGCTCGCGGCCGCGTTTTTTGGCTCCTCGCGGTCGTCTTCTTGTGGCGCTCGTGGGGGGGTCCCAGGATGTAGGGGGAGAGCTTGTTTGAGGTCGTTCGGTTCCGCGGCCAAGGAGCCGCACCATCGAGGGATGCCTCACATCCCGAGGGCACGGCGGAGGCCCCTCGATCCTCCAGCCTCGACCCTCCGCCCCCGATCCTCGGCCCCCGGCCCTCGACCTTCGGCCCTCGACCCCCGACCCTCCACCCTCGATCCTCGGCCCTCGACCCTCCGCCCTCGATCCTCGACCCCCAACCCTCGACCCTCGACCCTCGACCCTCTGCCCTCGATCCTCGGCCCTCAACCCTCGACCCTCGACCCTCGACCCTCGACCCTCGATCCCCGACCCTCCGCAGTCGCCCTCGGGGACATCGGTCCTCGGCCCTCGACCCTCGATCTTTGACGCTCGACGGTCAGACGGGGACACGTTGGGGCTCAGGAGGGGTTCCGGCCTCCGGGCCTTGCGAGCGCGGCGGGTTCGCGTCGTGCCGACTTGCGGCGACCCGCCGCTGGGTTTCGACGCTGGGGCGCCGCCGGCGACCCAGAGTTTGTCGACGCTGAACGATCTGACGTTTCGGAATCGGCTGATCGTTCAAGGTTGAGCTTCGGAAGCTGGAGCGTGCGCATTACCACTGGCGGGCTGTTTTTCAATCCCAGGTTTTTTTTCGGGTGGGGGACGACGTCGGGTCGGTGTGCTGTATATGTGCTGCTTCCGCTTCCCAAGGAAACGATGGACAATGTACACACCAGGGTCCCGCATACACCAGGGTCCGCTTTCCTGTGAAATTTCAATGCAGGGCTAGGGAAAAAGACGTCGGTGTAATGTAAGCCCGTGGCGTCAGCAACCAACGCTGGGGGCGGCACGATACAAACCTGCCATCAGTGACGCGCCGCCGCCGGGAGCCCATCGGCGTGCTACTCCGTCGTTTTGCGCCCGATCGCTTGGTGTCTCTTCAGCAGCAGCGCGCTGATGGGTTCCACGCGGCGGCGTGTCTTCGGCATTTTCCCTCCCGGCGCAATGCGTGTTGCAGCGAAGCCAGTCGAATTTCCGAACCACCCTTTTCCCCTGGCACCCTTCAGGGGCAGCGATCTCCGATAGGGGGGACAGGCATAGGGGGGGAACGCATCGACCCCCAATCGCCAATTTATCGCCGACAGGGGCCCGATAGCCCCAACCTGCCCAGGGAAGTGCGGACTCACTATCGGAGGCCTATCGCCGATCTATCGGCGATATATCGCCGATTCCACGTCAATGCTTCCCCCCTATGCCAGTCCCCCCTATCGTTGCCCCTGGCACCCTGTGTGTATGTTTTTGTGCCTGGGCAGACCGTTCGTGCGCCTTTCCTGAGACCCCTCCGCATCACAGCGTCGCCTCACGCTGCATCTCGGCCCCCGCCGCACGTGCCTTCTCACTGCGGGGCGGCCTGTCCCAGCTGGATCCCCGCCCTTGGGTTATGTTGTTCCAACCTATTGAAGCCTAGGTCACCAGACTGAATTCAAGCACCAGAGAAGCACCCTAATCTCGATGGGTTTTCACGTGCCGGGCCCTGGGAGACACTCGTCCGACACTGTTTCGACATTTTTTCGACACATGTTTGACAGTTGTCCGGGTGCTCGACCTGATTTCTGAGATGTGGTCTTTAAGTGCGAGGGGAGCAACATAACCCTTGGGGCCATCGTGGAGGCCATCTTGAAGACCATCGCGACCCCCCCCCCTCCAGACCCAGGGGTAAGGGTTAGTGGGAAGGGTCAAGCTGCCGCCCCCCCGTCCTCCCACCGCAGAAGTAGCACCCGAGTCTTATCATGGGCAGTGACCATCGACCCTCATCGGGAGCCAATGCAGACGCCGGCTAGGTCCGCGACGCCCGCGAGGTGCGTCGCGCGTGCCAGGGTACCCTCAGGGCTGGATCTAAACGGTGTTTTGGCGTTTTCGTGGGCCGTTGTCGGTTCGACTTCGTTTTGCGGTAAAGGTGGATTGAAGACAAAACGAGGGAAAAAGGAAAAAGCAACGAAAACAAAAAACACCGTTTAGGTTCAGCCCTGTGTTCCATCACCCTGCCAAATTAAACAGCCTCGCGATCGCGGGACGCCCGTGCATGATCAAGATTGTGCCGCAAATGAGATCTCGTGCTGTTTTTTTGACTTGGGTGAGAGGCCTGCGCGCAGCTGGCAGCATGCCGGCCTTCTTACCCCCTCTCGCCCCTGTCAAAAAGCAAGGCGGAGTGATCGCGCGGTGCCTGTGCAGGATCCAGCTTTTCCGCAAAGTGCACTGTGCGTTGTCTTTCGACAAGCAAGGTGCGGGCGGGTGTCGGACACCCCCCCACACCATGACCGGGGGCGAGCCAGGAACCAGGACAGTCCTGGGTTTGGGTTCGCCCCCGGTCAGGTGGAAGAGGGGGTATAATATGAATAAGGAGCAGTGATGAGCCTCTTCTCGGGACGATCTGGGCACCGAAAGAATGGGCACAAAGACCAACAGCAGCTCTGGCTCACTTTGAACAGGACTCGGTGTGGGTGTCGCCGCGGCCTGTGTCCATTTGAATCAGAAGGTCGCCGGCCCAACAGCGGCCGCTGTTGGTTTTGGACAGCATGTGCTGTTGGGCACTGTACCCCTTTTTGTTCCGTATCTTTTCGGGCGTCCAAATGAATGACTAGCCGTGATGAACCTCTTCGCGAAGGGAAGGAAGAAGTGAAGATGGAAGGGGCCTCCAGAGGGCTGGCCTATAGCACACCTCCCGCCGCCGCCGGCCCCATGGGCCGCGCATATGCCGCCGGTCATGATTTGCACCCCCCCCTCTTGGACACCCCCCTCTTGGCCGCTCCCGACGCGAGCAAGAGGCAGAGAAATATCGCGGCGACCTGCAGGAGGGGGACGCCTGGACTGGGGCGGCCGAGATGAAAGCACGTGCACACAAGCCGACAGCAGCAGCTCCTGCTCATGTTGAACCGGATGCGCTGTCCGCGTTGCCGCGGACGGTGTCCGTTCGAGGCAGGAGGCCGCCTGCCCAACAGCGGGCGCTGCTGGTTTGGGATCACATCTGCTCTTGGGCATGGCGCCCACGTTTTCCGTACGAGCTGTCGGGCGTCCAAATTTCACCGAGCGCGCTCCATTGCTCGCAAAGTTTATGAGGCTCCAACCTACTTTAGCCTTGACTACCAGAAAGAATTTCGAGTGCGACGAAAAGTACCGAAACTCAAGGGTTTTCACGTGTCGGGCCCTGGGAGACACTCGCCCGACACTGTTTTGACACTGTTCCGGCACTCTTTTGACACTTTTCCAGGTGCTCGAAATCATTTCTGGGATGTGGTCCTTAAGTGGGATGGGAAGAACATAGCGCAAACTGCCTACTCGCAAACGCCTGAACAACCAAAACAGACATGCCTTCCTCGATGCAATGGGTCGCGAACCCCGGCGGCGGGCCCAGGCTCCAGGCCGTCTGCGAGCAGTTTTTCCTTGCGAGTTCGCGGAGCGCGCTCGCCTGAAGCTGGAGGAGGCCCTGACTCCGGATCCGCCCTACTTTGGGGAAATGCGTAAGTAGGGCTTGGAATTTCCGCCTTACGTTTCAAGCCCCGCTGATGCCAATTTCCGCCCTATTTTTCTGTTGTTGTTTCCGCCCTACTTCTGTGGATTTTCGCCCCATTTTATGTTGGGTGCAGCAATTTCCGCCCTACTTGTTCGGCCTCTTCTAGGTGGTTTTCCGACGCAATTTCAAGTTGGAAAAAAAAAGCCAAAGTAGGGCGGATCCGGAGTCAGGGTGGAGGATATCCCCCGCGGCCCCCGCCAGGGGTACTACCAGGCTGCCGGCTGGGACTACCAGGCGTACTACGCCTACCACGCCGCCAGGAGGGCCCCGCGCCGGGCTTTTCGCGCGCCGCCGCGGCCCGCGGGTGCTCCGCCGTGCGCCCCTCGGCGTGCTGGGTGCCTTGACGGCCCGACCTCCGGTCCGCCGCCGCAAGGGGGGGGGGGGATTCTGCTGTTATTCAGGAGGGAAAAAACACACACAGACACAATGAATCGTTGATTCCCCAGAAGATATGGGAAAACATGGGATGTGGGGGCCAAGACGAAAACCTAGAACATATGGGAAAAGTATGGGGGATCTTTTTGTTTGTGTGTATTTCTTTGTGTGTCCTGGGGCCCCTTCAGTTATGCTGCATGCCCCCCTTGAAACACGAGATCGGCGAGAAGTGCAGAAGGTTCCCCATGGCCCCCTTGACTCGTGGAAAAATCGCGGCGTCATGGGTTTACTCGCAGTGCTCTGTCTCTCGGGGTCCTTCCCGGGCCTCGGGGCCGTCCTAGGAGACGACTCGGGATCAAAAACCAGTCCCAGGGAAGTGGTCGAGAGGTCGGGGACCCGCGTCTCCAAACATCGAGACGCTGGATGTCTGGGGTCGGGGGGTCGGGGCCGGATGTCTGGGATGCAGAGACGGTCCGGGAATGACCCCGAGAACGAGCGAAGCTTCTGTCGCAAAGAACGTACCTTCACGGGCCAGGGCGTGCGAGTCTCGGTGTCGTTTAACCGATCCCCACCCCCATCCCCAGCCCCCTCGAGACCCCCACCAAGTTGCCACCCCAGTTGGAAGATGCCCCCCCTCGAAGCCCGAAGGGACCGGCCTGTATCCCCATCTGGGGGGGGGGTAAGTCGGCCAGTGGGGCCCAGGCCACCACGCTGGAGATGGGGATGTCGGGTCGTCAGCCAGTGGGGCCCAGGGCCAGTGGGGCCCAGGCTACCCCGCTGGGGTTATTTACACGACTCTCAGGGTCGTCTCCCGGGCAGGTGCGCCCCTCGCCGCCAGCCGACGGGCGGGCACTTCGCCGAGCAGCCTGCGCAGCCCCTCCGTGCGCGGGGGCGTGGGGGCCGCGAGAGCTCCTCCTCCTCCTCCTCCTCCTCCTCCTCCTCCTCCTCCTCCTCCTCCTCCTCCTCCAAGGGCCTCGCCCGCCTGGCCGACGAGCAGAGGCGGGTCT